CTGTGGCTGCCCCATCCCTGGAAGTGTTCCAGGCCAGGTTGGATGAGGCTTTGGGCAACCTGGTGTAGCAGAGGGTGTCCCTGCCCATGGCAGGGGGGTTGGAACTGGATGATCTTTGAGGTCACTTCCAACGCAAACCATTCCATGATTCAATAACTCTTGGAAGGATTTGGCCCACAGTGCCCGGTAAGATAATTGAGATGCTCTGGATGGCAGTTCCTCAGCCCACTCAGCAGTGCACAAACAGGCCAGAAACTGGGGCGGGAGGGGTGGAGTTGTTACTATTCCCTCGGGATCCTGACCTACCTAATGCTTTGTGTCTGCACTGGATGGGAATAAGCTCGATTTCCCAGGTGATTAATACAGTGGAGTAACTCCAGCTGTTACTTATGTTCTCATAACTCTCCTGACCCTATTTCATCTGTGTTAGCTTGTTATCGCCCCGTCATTAATGTATTCTGTCATCACAGTCTTTTAAGACAGGCAAACATTACAGAAAAAACAAGCACAAAAATCAGAAAAAACGTCACCATTGTGGCTCTTTTGAGGACTGATGCCAAGTTCACGCATCTGTGGCAGTGAGCCTTATTGCCCTTTACTTAGGGCAGTTTGGGTGGTCTTAAATATTCTGCCTGTTGTCCGGCAGCTCCGGTTGTCTGATCTGATCTCTTGTGCAGTTCGTTTTATCGGTCGGGATCTGAGGTGCTGCACTGCTGTTGTGATCTACCCATGTTGGGCTTGTTTTGCCAAGGGGCTGCCTAGGCATCAAGGGCAGCAACTACGTGCTCCTACACCCTATCAGCACTTCAAAGAGGAATTTGGGAAGTTTCTGCTGAGAGTAAAGATGATCATGTAAGAGCATACCAGGACTCTTTTTGTTTTTATTATTTTTTGCCCTTTAACACTATTGATATTTCAAGGGTTCTCATTTTGATCACTGTCAGGGCCCTTCACTGCAAGTGTACATGCAGCTGTTGAGAGTTTAAAGGAACTCTTCCTGGGAAAATAAGGAAGAATTTCTTCCTCGCTTCTCTGAAAAGAAACTTAAGTTCTAATTGGAAAGGGTTGGGGAAAATCAAGCCATCAAAGATTATCTGTGCTTTGCAAAAAGCAGGACATATTTATGTGAAATAACAGACTTTTCGAGAAGTATGCAGTTCACTTTCTTTGACCTGCTGGCTTTTTCCCCCAGATTCTTGGATGCATAAATCAGCGTGCCTTCACCGTCTTCACTTCCAAAGGGCTGTACTGTATGGCATCAGTTAAGGCTCTGGCCCGTAGAAGTTGCAAAGTAGGTGTGAATAGTGAAAGTCCAAGAAACAAACATGTTTTGGAAATATTTACTGCCCTTCTTACAAACATCTTCGTTTACTGTGTTAATTATCCTGAATTAGAGAGCTGCTATTGACTATGTTGTTGCATCATAAAAAAAACAACAACAACAACAAAAAAGCACTGTAGTACAGAGCAAATATAAATCTCTTCTTGGAGATTGGAAGCCAGTGTTGGGCTTTGGTTTTGAAAACAGCTGTGCTTATTCCAGCAGCCTTACTGGGAACTGTGATTGAAGTGAAGTATATTTTGACTTTTGCAGTGGTTCTGTTAAATTAATTATGTTTTCTATAAATCTTGCATATGTGCGAATTCTTTAAAGTATTTATTCCCTCATTACTGGGCAAATAGCTGAAAAACGTTACAAACAAACCCATAAAATGCAGTATGTGGGAAAAAATGTTGTTTTCATTTAAATCTTCCTATTGAAGTCAGTGTCTCGGTGACTTGTTGCTTTCAGGGAACAGCAGAATGATACTGGTTAGGGCTGGTAACCTCTACCCAGCTCCCTTTTGGGTGCTGGTCTTGCAGGTGGTAACGGGTTCGTGGTGGATGCAGGTGGGAGCAAAAGTTAGGATTATGAAGACCAGGCTGCCTTGTGTTCATGAATGGAGGGATAATTAAACCTCTTAATGATGTTATCGTTGTTTTTCCTATTCAATTATTGGTGTTTATTTCAAGCCAACATTAACCTGCGATTTGAACAAAATATGTCCTTCTCTTTGATTCAACAACTGGATGATTTACTGCAATGTTTGTCCTCCTCATTCCTGTTGCTCTGGATGGGAATTCCTCAAGAGTCTTCTCTGGTCATTAAGTGTTACCAATGTGTAAAAAAATAAGAAGAAAATAGCTTTCCTAATCTATCGGGTATAAGAAGCTGCTTCCTTACCCCCAAAATGAAAGCAAAATACTTGGAAAGCTTCTATAGCTGAACTTGTTTTGGGGAAAAAAAAAAAAAAAAATCTTACGTACTTTTTTATACCCCTGAAACACTGTGTTCTACTCTCAACCTTATGAAACTGTAAAACAAACTCTATTCATAAACACCACTTTGGAAGACTAAAGATTGATTTCCTCTCCAAATAGTAACAAAAAGTACAGCCTCATTTTTTCTGAAGGGAAAAAAAAAAAAAAAGGGAATTGATTAATTTGTGGCATTTTTCACTGGAAAGACATTTCAGTAAACCGTTCCTGGGCTGATTTAAGCTAGAACCAGCTGAACTAAAGAGGTGATGCTGGCACGTACCTCTCCGTTCGGCTTAGTAGCAGCTGCTAGTGTTAGTAGAGCTCACATGGGAGCGCGTATCCAGAGTTTATCGCCGATGAGGATCTTAAAAAGCAGGAGGAAATTAACACTTGCTCTGCTCATTGATTTCTCTAAGCGCTACTGATCAGGGAGCTTCCCAACGCTGGGGTCAGTCCTGCACGGAAATGAAGAAGGATATCTTGTTGGAAAACGTCACGCAGGGCAAGCCAGGGGACAGATTAAGTGGAAGCTTTTGTGAATTTGTGGGCTGAATTTGGTATTAACCTCCGGATCTGCACTTCTGCCTGCAGCCCGCGAGCGTGCCATAGGAGCCGTTAGGGTTGTATCTCCAGATAGCTGGTGATTATTGGTAGGGAATAATAGTTGGCAGATGTGGAGTTGGGAGGGTTTTAGAGATGTCTGCTGGCCAGAATTCGTCAGGCAGAGGCTGGGAGAATGATTGTGCATTTGTAGGAGTCCACATCCTGTGGGCAGCTCTTTTCTGTCTAAATTCTATTTTAGATATTCCCCTCCTTGATTTCCAGCTTCTGTGGGGTGTTTCAACACATGCTTTGTTTGTCTTTTTCTTCTAGTTACTTTTTCTAGGGATGTTTCCTGAAGTAACATTTTTGGTTTTTTTTTCTTCTCTGAGTGAACATCTTTGAACTTGCCAGCAGTGAGGAGTGCAGCAGCGAGGAGGTTCTGCCCCAGCCGGGTGGGAAGGCTGAAATCCCGAGCAGTCCCAGTGACTGGAGTGGGACTTCTCGCTCATCAAGTAGTCAGGATCAACCCCCCAGTTCAGTACAAATATTTGAGGTTCTGCATAACTCAAACCCACAGACATTTTACATCTGGTAGAAGTCCTGTCCGTTTCCAGAAACCCAGAAGTACGCTTTCCAGCGGCACGCAATGGGGTCATTAGAAAATCAGATTAAACCTTCAAATGCAGTTTTAAAAACATTATCTGGGGGGTGACAACCATCGAATGACTTACGCCTCGCGGATTAGAAGATGATTATCTTCTGCAGTGCTTGCTGCTGTAGCTTGCAACAGGAAGAGTGTTCTCAAAGCTGTCCCTTCAGCTTGCTATTCAAACCTGTGCACTCCAGACTACGCATTGTATTAGACTTCCTGGTGCTTTATGCTGAAGACACATTTGTCTTCTTAATCAGACAATTTCCATCTGCCAGGAATGTATTTAATATAATGTCAAATGTAATTTAGATGAGAAGTGAAAGTACAATGTGCTGTCATTTACTGCCAACCATTATTACTGTGAGAGGGAGGCACAGCAACCCGAGTTTAAGTGGAGCCTTTAAGCAATAACAGGCTGGTTCCTCCGTTTATTTTGGCCTGATGTTCTTCCCTTGATTACAGAGCTGTTGTAAGCATGTGCTAAATAACAGACGTTTAAAACTGAGGCTAGATCTTAGAATATCAGCTTAGAGGATCAGATCAGAGCATCTAAAGGCCTCAGCGAGGTCCACGGCATTGTTGTGCTTTATGGACAAGGGTAAATGAGACTTCTTGTTCCAGTGGTGTGGGTTGAGACAGGAAAGCCCCGGAGTCCTCAGGCATCGGATTGATTGGAATAATAGCTAGTGTCTGTCTCTCGAGCTGGTGGCGAAACACAGATTGTGCTTTCTGAAAATGTCAGTAAACTTCTGACCCCTCTGCTTGTTGATTGAGACGAGCCAGTTTTGAAATATTTTTCAAATAAAACACTATTATTTCCTCAAAAAAAATTGTAGCTGTTTATAGATAGGTAGTTTTCCCCTGTATATTGTTATTTAAGTGGCTAAATACAATAAAGCCTTAGAAACTATCGTTATCAACCCCGAGGTCTGATTGTTTACGTGGGGGAATAAAGCAGCAACAAAACTGCACCGGACCCAAAGATTTATCCCCCAGCTTTGGCACAGGCAGCAGAGCCTGCTGCGGGGTGGTGAAAACACGGGCTCTGTTTCAGCAGCAGCCTGGAAAAGAGTCGAAGTGAAGCGACTGCTGTGCTTCAGCTCCCTCTTTGTTCCAAAGTGGGGAAAGGTGCTTGTTTCCACCGTCATTTGTTGTGACCTCTGCTGTTGAAAAGTGCTGGTATGAAGAATGTTTTATTATTAAGCTGGGCCAATCATGTTACTCATGTTTCATCACTGTTGCCATCTGTGCTGCAGAATATTCACTCCGAAGGGTTATCCTGCAGTGTATCCATCTGACTCTGTGACTGGAATAAACCAAGAGCGTTTGCTGGTGACGGTTGTGTTGATAGAAGTAACCTGGAGGTCTTCTCCACATCTTGCAAATTAGGAGTTAGAACACAGATCTGAGCTTTTTCTTAAGTGATTGGTGCCGTGCGTGAATGAAAAGGTAGCTCATGGAAGAGGGAGAGCAGGCATTCAACCTTTGTCTGTTTTTCTGGCAGGATGGAGAAAAAGAAAATTCTGATGAAATCCAAGGTTGCTGCTCCCAACCTCTTGAGGGCACTGCATTCTCTGTACCGGTTCGGCCACCTCTGTGACGTGACGGTTCACACACAACATCTAGGAATTCAGGAGGAGTTTCTGGTTCACAAGGCTGTCTTGGCAGCTTCCAGCAATTATTTCAAGGGGCTTTTCCTGCACGATGAGATGCTGGACACCAAGAACTGCACAGTGACTCTGCAAGACATTTACACGGAGGAGTTCACCTCCTTCCTGGAGTTTATTTACACTGCAGAAGTGGAGATTGAAGCAGAGAAACTGCAACGGATGAAAGAAATAGCCGAAAGACTTGAATGCAAGGATTTGCTTGACATTTGTGAAGAAGTGAAAGCAGAGGGCAGGAAGGGTTTGAGCCTCCATCTGAAAGGTCAGCTGTGTGAAAACGGTGCGCCGCAGTGGCCTCATGTCCAGCAAGAGGGGATCCGCAAACGGAGTAACTCCTCCTCCCAGGTTGTGGCAATGCCCATGCAGAGGAAACTTTGGGATAGGCAAAAACATAAAAGGTTGCTGGCTGGCCATGATCTCGTTGAAGGCCAGGCAGCAAGGCTGGAGCAAGAGGACACTGCTTTTCCAGGTCCAAAATCCAGGACAGCAAAGCTACTGAAATGTAACAAGGCAGATGCCAGAAACAAACTCAGCCTGGAAAACGAGACGAGTCCTTCTCTCCTAGGTCAGACTGAGTCAAAGGAAGCCTGCGTAGTGATTGGGAACATGCTGCCTGAGCAGTGGGAAGATGAAACCGGTTTCATTTCCAAATTTGCCAGTAAAACCGAACGCAGGAAATCGCTGCGGCAAGTGGCGAAAGCCTCGCCGCAGATGGCGTGCAAGAAGTGCAACGAGTCGTTCCACGTTCTCGAGCAGTACCGGTCACACATGGAGCTCGGCCATGACGGCGGTCTGGCCGTCACGTA